TGGAGGATTGAATAGATTCAACACAACTGAAAAGCAAAGTTGTTGACGGAAAAGAAATTATCAGGCACAATGCTATATATATATTGCATTTACCTAATATATGCAATTACCTAATATAACTATATATATATATGTATATATATATATAGCTATATGTATATATATATATATATAGTTATATTAGGTAATTGCATCTCTGCCTATGTGGATAAAAGGCTCTGGTAAAGTTTTTACACTGGACAGTTGGTCTTTTATGAAGTTCACACTAGGTATATATATATATGCCTTAATGCTAAATTGTACATCTGAAACTTACTGGATTTCATTAACCAATGTCAGAATAATAATAATACAAATTTACCAGGAATTTAGCTAAGAATATCAAATGCATGAAAAAAATAAGATGTGAAGGACAGAATGAGAAGGTGTAATATACATGTAATAGGCATCTCAGAGAATGTTAACAGAATGTGGGAAATGCAATATTCAACAAGAACTTGAATACTGAGATTTTTTTCAGAATTGAGGACTGACAGCAATTCTCTCAGGTTTAGGAAATTCTTGGCCGAAAAAATTCCAAACTAGACACAGTGTAATGAGATTGAACAATGAATCAAAAGATTTTTAAAAACAGCCAGATGAACTACAAGAATCACTAGATTTATTTCATTAGAGCATCAAAGGAAGCCAGAATAGAGTGGAATAGTATTTTGAAATTACTGATAGAAAAGACCAGTAAGTCCCAAATTCTATACCAAGAACTCTACGTTTTAAGAATGAGGGTGAATTAAAGATAGATATTTTTAGATACACAGAAGCAAAGTTTACCTTCAATAGATACTTAGTAAGGGACTTTGTAAAGGACATACTTCTGGAAGAAGGAAAATGATCCCAGAAGTAGTTCGAGATGCAAGAGGAAATGATGAACGAAGATATGTAGACAAAACATCGACTATATCAAAAATAACAATGTGTAATTTATAAGGTGAACAGAACAAAAGCACTGAATTATAAGATAAAACAGGAGAGAGATTTGATAGGAGTTAAACAAGTCTAAGGTCCTCATATTATTCAGGAGAAAAGTAAAGACGTTAATTCTCTTCAGACTTAAAATTTCTATATGCATGAGAACATTTCACCCTGAGGAAGTTTTAAATAAAGATAGAGAATTAAATACATGCCTCTACTTCTCCAGAAAACCTCTTTAAAGTTACAGTAAATGGATTTTTTTAAAGGCCTACTAGTACAAGGACAATGACAAGAGGATGGAAGATAACAGCACCAAATTTTTGGAAACTAGAAAGTGGATGGATGCAAGTTCACTGAATGTGCTCAAGAAAGCTGAATTCTAAGCCAGCAGTGGTCAAGGCACATCTTCAGAGTTTCAGGATTTGGTGGCATCAGGCACATTTGAGAGTAGAATGAAGGTGGGGCTCAAAACCGGGCAATGGTTCAAAGTCAGTTTAAAAAGTTAAACAGATTCCACCATTCCCCCTCCTGCAAGCTGGTTTAAGACTGGGTGGGTAAAAAGAGGAGCTATCAAGCAGGGTTAGGGTGGGGATACTCTTGTATATTCAGGGATTTATATTCTAAAGTCGATGCCTCCAGTGCTTTTCCAGCCATCCTTCTAGAAAGCTAACCACCCTATGTTTACGCCGAGTGCTGGATATTAGTGGTCTTTTCTAAAAGTAATTTGGGGCGGGGGGTCTCCCCGAACTGACCCAATTTGAGACCAAAATTGAAAAGTATCACCTACACAACCCAGAAGTTTTAATAAGCTTCTTTTTTTTCTGCCCTATTTTAACCTTTAAGCAGAAAATAATGAATTAGCAGAAATTAGAATAAAGCGACTAGTATGAATTGACAGAGACCAAAACAAAGAAGAAAGCAACTGGAAGAAGCAGAGATGATTCTTGGATAAGAACATTTTAAAAGACCATCAATTAAATCTTTAATTTTGATCTGTATAAACTCATCCCTTTTGTGTATTCATTTGGAATCTACATTATTAGGAACCTAAACAAAGTTCTGGGTCACTGGTTAAGGGTTGACTTATAAATATTATGTACATGTTATAAAACTAAAAATGTATGTATTTATAAGTTCATTTGCTTTGGGGCAAATAGATGTCTTGGATGGTATTAATCCATTTAACCAACAGGCTTGCTGATATAAGCAGAACACACTTGTGAGTAAACTTCATTTTCTGTTAAGAATAGCATTATCATTTTCCAGAAAATATAAAAATCTGTAGTGTCATGTATTAAAGAAAGTTTCTTCCTTCACATGCCTTCATATTCCTGGATGGGAAGAGGTGAAAATCCTTTAATTAGTAAAGGTAAGTCAACCTCTGAATGTGATCATAGGATTGTAATTATCTATGGGTGTGTTCAAAAGCCCATTTCTACTAAGAAATCTTTTTAAGGACAAATGCTATATTAACCACAGAATTATTTATGTGTCTAATTATCACCTTCTTGATAGGCCATGAATCACCTTTCTTCTGGTGTGGAGGCTATATAATGTGGAGTGCCTGGTGCTTTACGTAGGGCAATTTTTTATTTTACTTTATTTAAAAAAAGTTTTTTGAGGTGAGGCAACCCTTGGTTGACTTCACAGATTGCAAGGACCTTGTCAGCTTACAATCCCTAATTTTTTATTTTTTACGCCTATAGCACCTGATCTTCTTAGGTGATCTCCCATTCAAGTACTAACCATGCCCGACCCTGCTTAGCTTCCAAGATCAGACAGGATTGGGCTTGTTCAGGGTGGCATGGCCATAGACAGGGCAATTTATTTTATGATTTTGCACTATTTGTTAGGTTGGTTTGAGGATACCAAACAATCAATAATTTGTATGTTCCAGAATTAATAAGATTATTTCATTTCAGCTTCCAGGAGATATAGTTTCCAAGCTGACAAAGAGCTACAAAGGCTTTTTTAAGGTGTCATTAAGTTTCAGATAACTTCATAATTTTAGCTACTGTTTATATGAAATAATGTAGTCACAAGCTAAAGTCCAAAGATGATTTCATATAGCTTTCCCCCCTTTTTTCTCAACTTTAACATAATGTTTTTAAAAGAACAATAGTTCCCTAAATAAGATAAACTGCTCCTTTCAAAATTACTTAAATCTTAGAGATGATACATTTGGAAGTATAAAATAAAGTATAAAACATTAATTTTTTAAAATTTACATTTTAAAAAGTAAAGTCTAAAAATATATATTAAGATATAATGCTTTCAGAGTTATTTCATAGATATTTAAGTATTTTTTATTAATACATATCAATATATTAATATATAAATTGAATATATTCAATTTGACAAATACTAGAAAACCTACCATGGGCTGTGCTTCTAAGAGTGACAAAGATGAATAATGTGACTTTTTGGCCTTCTAGAAATATTCAGTGTAAGAGAAGTAATTGACAAGTATGAAACTACCTTCCACAAGAGGCAAAAGGTAAGGATTGCTAAAAAAAAGTCCTTTTGGGTAATTTCTAAAGACTTCATTTAGTAAGTGGTTGAGATGACTGCTGAAAGGTGAATTTCATTTCTACCCAGTGAAGGGGACAGTCGGGGTAGCAACTTTATAACAAATTTGTGCTACTTTGAAGTGATTAATACTAGAAAAGTTCTCATAAAGCAGTTGGAAATAGACTTTTAATGCTTAATCTCTAATTCCATAAAGTACAATGTGATGAGTAAAAATTTAAGTCCCCGAGTATTTTATTCCTTCAATTATATCCAGTAGAATTCCTGTATCCTCAACCAATAAGAAGTCCCTAGGGGTTACTCTGGCCTTTCCTTAGATTAGCCAGGACTCCATTAGAGATAAGTTCAATCAGTATCTCTGGTGTGGAGCTCAGGTATTGGTATTTTGTAAAAATTCTCCAGATAATTTTAATGTGCAGCCAGGGTTGCAAACCACCAGGCTAAATTGCAGATGGACAATTTTGGTCTGCTTGATAATTAATTTCTCTTTTCTGGTTCAATAAATATTAAGAATTTTCCAATATTAATTTCATCAGCTTCTACTTTACTATTTACTATTGTGCCAGGCATGGTGTCTAGCATTCTTTTCTACATTTCATTTAATTTTCATAGCTACACCTGAGGTAGGAGCTAATTGTTTCTAAGTAACTTGCCCAGTTACTGCCCCACTTCGGGGCCCAATAACTTACCCACTGCGCAATGCTGATTCTCTCCTCTAATTCATTCCTGATAATGCAACTCTTGAGAACACCAGTGTCTCAGCAGCTATAAATAAACTTTATCTGGAAAAAGCAACTGAGAACGAGCAGCGAAATGACACAAGGACATGTATGGAGGGCACCAGGAGGCAGAATGGATACTACAGGGTTCACTGGGCGGCTCAAAATCTCTAACTCCTCGCCGCACCCCGCCCCCCAAACCATCTACCCCCCAGTATTTAACCATCGCGACTTAGCCCCACTTTTCAAACTCACTGGTCTTTGTTGCCCAGTTTCAGGGCTAAACCACTTTTATTAAAATTTAAAAAAAAAAATTTTTTAGGCGAGGCAACCCTTGGTTGACCTCACAGATTGCAAGGACTTTGTCAGTTTACGATCCTTTATTTTTTACGCCTCAGCACTTGGTCTTCCAAGGTAGTCTCCCATCCAAGTACTAACCAGGCCCCACCCTGCTTAGCCTCCGAGATCAGACAAAATGGGGGTTGTTCAGGGTGTATGGCCGTAGACTAGAATCACCTTTAAACACGGCTGGGGGAAAAGGTAATCAGGGAATTTCCCAAATCCGTAGCTGCAGTTTAGGTGTCGAGTCATTACTAAAAATGGGGAAAAGCCTTCTCCATCAGTCCACCCAACTCGGTAAGATAAGAGGCGAATGCCGGGGATTGTCCAGTTTGCTTCCCCCGGAGCCTTAGGCGGGAGGCGGGGCCCTGCAGCAAACCGCCAGAGGTGGGACGCGAGGCTGGAGGGCGCCCCACCCACTCCTACCCCGAGGGGAGAGTGGTGCGAGTGCAGCGGGGCCCAACGCAACAGCCGCCCTTCAGGTCCCGAGGCACGCGGGCGAGTGTAGGACGCTGTCGCGCTCGGAGGCAGGGGCGTGACAGCACTTTCAGTTGATTGCGGAGAGGGGCTGGCCGGACACTCGCGCACTAACCCCGATTTAACCGAAGGCGCGAAGGCAAGGAGCCGGGCTCAGGCTTGGCAAGCAGAGGCTGCGGACCCTTCCTTAGGCCAGCCGGGGAGTTCCCCATTTGAGAGCGTCCTGGGTCCAAGCAGCCCCGTGCTCCGGGTGCCATGGCAACCCACGCGTCCGGCGGGGCCCGCGCGCGCCGCGGGGCTGGCCACTGCCGGAAGTGACGCGTTTCACCTGCCGAGCGAGGGCGGGTTGGGGCGGGGGTGCAGAGGTGCCAGAGCTGCCTGGCAGTCGGGAGCGCGCGAGGCGAGACCGCGGGGAGACCGAGACCCCGGGCGAGAGCCCCCTACCTGCAGTCACCTCCCACGGCCCGGCCGCCACCATGGCGCTTCTGCTGCGCGTCCTCCTCCTGTGCGGAGTCGCTGGTGAGTGTGGGCAGCCTGGCCCTAGTGTCCTCATTGCCTGACCAGCCCCGAGGTGCTCGCTGCCTGCGGCCACCCGGGAACAATGAAGGGTGGGGGAGGGGGCGGGCGCGATTTGGGGGCGCTGCGGCAGTGGTAGCGCTGCAGGCGTGATTGCACGGGGTGGGTTTTGCCTGGCTGGGTGCGCGAGCCCGGAAGGTGGAGCGGCTCAGAAGGGAGCTATGCGGGGGCATGAGGTGTCCGGGGATGGGTTGGTGGTCGCTGACTGAGCCGGGGACCGAGCCCCGGAATGAGAGGAGGCGGTGGAGGGACTCCCGGGATGCGGCGTGATGGGTGCGCCCGGCGTCTTCCCCGCTCCATTCTTTGCCGCGATCGCAAGCTTTGCTTTCTTTGCTCTTGCCCTTCCCTTGTTAGCCGCGGTGTAGTGTCCGTCTAGGGTCATCCGATTTCAAAAGCCTTGGGCGGTGAGTTTTCAGGTGTCGAGCAGCCCAGGCGAGGAGACTGGATTGCAAACGCCATGATTAAATGGACACCGAGCTCGTCAGTGCCTGGGATCGCTGGGCTGCCTCTAGGAAACCCGCGCCGGGTAAGGCTGTAAGCCTGAGCGCTCTTGGTCTCGTCGGAGAGGCTAGCCCGGGCGCGAGCTGTTAGCGAGAGGGTAATTCCACAAAGTAGGTCGTGGAAAATCAGAAGTAGGCAAAATGCAGTACTGATTTCCGCAGTCTTGGGGCAAAGTGCGAAGGAGAAACTCATGACCTCGGCTTTGAGTTTATAATTAGTTGGTTCATTTTAAAGATAAGACGAGATGACTTGTATAATTCTTAAGGGACTCTCTTCAAGTGCATTTTCAACTGCGCCTTTCTCGGGAGGGAAAAGAAGCCATTTAAAAAATGTGTGGACCATTGGAAAGCATGATCATTTGGCACTTTAACAGACTGATCTTTCTCCTTGTCGTTTTTTTTTATTTAACCAACTGATATTTGTCAGAGTAAGCACTTGTCTCATAACCAAATGATTCGTTTAAAAAAATGTATAGGTGGGACCCTAGGAGGCACACTTCGTGTAGCCTCTGAAAGGATAATTTTTTTAAGTGCTCTAAGGCAGGATCAGGTGGCCCTTTCTGTTGGGATGGCTCTCTACTTCCTGTTGAAATGTTAATTCCATTGTTGGATGCCACAGCTGTGAGCTTTACTCTTGGGATCAACATTCTATTAACAAGTCTAATCTTCGATCTGAGTCTATAGCAATAACTAACCAGTTTACGCGGTACCTTTCCGTATTCTATCAAGGACTAAACTGAAGTTGAAACTGAGAATACAGTGTTTTTGTTGTCTGTGGGGGAAAAAATGTTTTAGACTACATCTAAATCAGAAGAGTGGAACATAAACTGTATAGAGAAATTTCTTTTTCCAGGGATATTCGGGTTACTGTCCAGATTGTATTTTTTCTGGATTTCTTGCTTTGGTAGGTACAATCTCAACCAAGGATATTTTGGATACATATAGAATTATTCTGCTCATAGAGTGTACTGTGAACATCTCATTCAAGGACTATTGTCTTTAGTTAAACAAGATGACTATTTTTAATATTAATTTTCCATCTTAGGAGACAACTCAAAAACTATACATAATTGATATACAGCTTTAAGTATTTCTTCAGAAACTTGTCATTTTAGAAATTCATTGCTGTGAACTCAGGTTGAGTGGTAGTATGATTGGCTCCTACAATTGGCAAAACAAGGTGGAGGTTTATATATTTTAAAAATTGCAGTGCTGTCAGTGGTAGATTCTTCCTCTAGCTCTGTCTCTGGGTTGTAAAGAGTTTTGTGGTCTACTCTGGTTACTGGTGGAACTCCTTTTGATGAATTTTTATTGCCAACCAGGTAACAAGTACTACTAATGGTAGTGGCAGTAGTAGTAGAGCAGTAGCAATAGTAATAAAATTAGAGCCTTGATCAAGCAGTTATTAAATACTAGCCATTGTTCTAGGGGCTTTACATTTACTTAACCTACCTAACAACCCTAGAGGGTATGTATTATGATGATCCCAGTGGGAAAACTGAGGCACAGAGTGGTTATATAACTTGCCAACTTCACAAATTTCCTCTGGAATCCTTGCTCTTATAATTATGCTATTCTGCCTCTAAAGCAGCTTTCCTCTTTGATTACTTCTAATCCATACCCTAAATTTTTATTATCAGTCATTTATTAAGTACCTGCTGTTAGCTTAATTGTACGCCAAGTATGAAGGCTTTTATTGTTGGCCCTTTAAATTCTTTAAATTGTCAGCCGGTTGAATACTTTCAGGCACAGTGAAAACATGAGGATCCAGGGCTTAGACTGGTATTGTAGATTAATGTGTTCTGTGTACCAGCAGCAGCAGCAGCAGCAGCAGCACCACCACCACCACCACCACCACCACCACCACCACCTTGGGGTCTTGTTAAAGTTTGGGGTGCTGCTACTTTTCATAATCAACAACAGTGGAACTAAAGTACTGGGCAATGATTGATTCTGATCTCCCAGCCACTCGTTAGCCATTTGATATGGTGGTCCCCTGTCCTCTCTGTGTGCCTCGCTTGCTTTTATGTGTCAAGAATGGGGATCCTACTATCTCAAAATTGTTGAGGATCAAAAGGTAAAATGATTATCCTTTTGCTTTCCTCGAGTCTTTTCCTTTATGTAAATAAATGGAGATTATGGATGTGAACTATAGCCCCTCCATATACCTTTCTTAATATTTACATTCCTGCCATTATACCAACCACCAGAGCAAAAGTTGCCTCTCCTCCCTCTGTTGGCTCCTTACTCTATCTGTTGTGGGGTCTCCAACAATTACTCGATGTATCTCATTGCACTAGGCCAGAGGGCAGGGGCATTTTCTGTGCTGTTCATTGTTATAGACCCAGTGTTAGCTTGTGGCACCTGGCAGATAGCAAGACTTCAGTAAATGTTGTGTGATTGAAAGTTTCCAACCTCTTGACACTAAGCCCATGTATATGATATAGCTCTCATCGGCTCCATTTCTTTCTCTCCTTTCTCACCCGGTAAAGATGGTCCTTGTCGTGATCATTTCACTAGTCTTATCTCATACAGTTATTAATCTAAAGAAGTTAAGGCTCTGCTTTATCTCTGACTGCATTGCTCTGTGTCCCCCACCTCCACCCGCCTCCCCCTTCAGTTGGCAAAGATAACAATAACTGCGTGCCAAGTTCATTTATTTGTTTTTGAAGCTCCTTGACATCTATTTTGATTCTTTCCTACCCTGTTACCTGTTTTTCTTCACTGCTTTCTCCAATAGGTCCCTTAAATGTTAGCCTTCCCAATGATTTGTCCTATAGTCCTCGTCTCAGTCTCTTAAACCTGGGTGACCACACTTATCCATTACTGTAACTTCCAAATACTTGCTAGTGACTTAATAGTGCCAGCTCAGCCCATCTTTCCTTTGACTTCTGGGCCTCTCTTTCCAACTGCCTAACATTCAGCTTCCACCTGAATTCACTTCAGTACCTCAGCCTCATCTGTTAGTTGACTAAGTGATCCAATCAGTCACATGTTTGTGGCCTACTATGTACTGTGCCTGTCTAAGGCTCTTATAGTAGTAGTATAGGACTTTGCAAGGTGCGGAAAATTAGATAGGACAGTTCCAGCAGTTGGTACAGCTTTTGCAAAGACATGGAGCTCTGAGAAGGTATGATGCATCTTGGGAGTTGAGAAATTCAGTGCGTATAAAGCATCTAACCAGCACTTCTAAAACTTTTGATGTGTACCTGAGTCATTATAAGAAAGTGTGGGGCTTGAGGTTTTGCATTTTCAGTTCCCCCAGGATGCCACTGCTAACCACACTTTGGCTAGGCAAAGGTCTAAATGCTGTTCAAGAGTTTATTACATGAGAAATGATAGACATCTGTAAAATTAAAGCCCCGCCCAACAGTGGCACTAAGAACCTTGTAGAGGCATTAAAGAAGTGAAATTTTTACACGGACGTTGTTCTTTTGAATGACACAGAACTTTAGCTGTTCTGGAGGCAGGTACAACTGATAGAGCTAATGGAACACTCCATCTGGGCTGACGTGTATATAAACAGCCTCTGTTGAAACACAGCAGAGTGGCGTTTGGCTTCTTTGATCTGGAAAGTTGATTTGAGGGAGATGCAGTGAAACCTGATATCTGGCTGGTTGAGTGGCAAGAAAAAGTAGGAGAATGCAGTAATATCTCTGGCTTGAGTGAATGGTGATGTCACTAATCTATAGGGTATAAAGAAAAGAGGAGAAAGTTTTAGGAGGTGACAATGAGCTTAAGTTTGGACAGGTTGTATTTGAGGTGCCTGAGGTGACTGAAGGTAAAAAAATATCCAGTAGAAAGATTTAAACAAAGGACTGGATCTCAGGAGAGGGGAGAAGATTAGTGATAGAGAATTGGGAACATTGCTGATATGTGGCATGTGTGTGAGGTTAACCAGGAAAAACAGGTAGGACTGTTTTTCAGGTAGAAGAGAAGGTGAAAAACGATGCTGGGGAACGTCAACATCTAGCAAGTAGACAAAAAGTGAACAATAAGGAGTGACAGGATGAGGGGGTCCCAGAAACTGACACAGAAATCAGGCCAGTGGGTCTCACCATTAGATAATTGAGAACATTCAGGAAATTAATCAGTTCCATAGGGAGGACAGTTTCTGTAGTGGCAAGAGGAAAGCTAGAGTTTAATAGTGGGTCTCGGGTAGGTGGAGAACGACAAATGTACTGTACACTTGCAGTTGGCCTGACACTGAAGCTTTGCACATGTGGCTATAATTCTCGGGAACAGTAGCAGACTCGAGAGAGAAGGCACAAGCCAGCAGAAAAACACTTCCTTAATTTCCAGCCACCCAGACCTAGAACCTTGTTCCTCATTTCCCTTGGTAGGCCCAGTTTCCTCCTTGTACCTTAAATGTTGGGGTTTCTCAATTTATGGCTTCAGTTGCCACTTATGTCCTTACAGCCTTGTCAGCAGTGAGCTGATCAA